CCGGGGCTCGGCGACACCCTATATCCGAACCCGGAGAATGGGCACATTTCCGAGAACGCCACGAGGGCACCCACGGGTGGAGAGGCGGCCAAGGAATCTCAGCGCCTGCATCTTCTTTCATTTTCATTAACACGTGTAGATTTCAGGAACCATTTAACATTCAGGGGCACGCTCCCGGCGGAGCCCACGGCCCGCTGGAGGCTTCATTCCGGTGCACTGGGGGTCGTCGCAAATGGCCCGGGGGGTAACCCTAAACCTTTAAGAGATTTCAGCCTAGCATGCGCTCGCTAAAAAAAAAAAAAGAAAATAAAACAAAATAAATGCCCGAAAATTCCAGCAGCAGCCCAAGATGGTGGCCAGCATTTTCTTCGAGCTGTTCTGCGCGCCCCGGGCATCTGCGGGCTGTCTTGCCACCTTGGCCAAGGCCATCCTTGCGGGGGTCCCCAAGTCCCAACCCACCCCTCCCGGCAATTTGATGCTAGAAAAAAAAACCACCCTGTATAGAAAGCAGCAAGACAGTGGTCCCTGTCCTGTCTCATTTTTAAATTAAAAAGTAAAATAAGTCGCTGGAAATATTAGTCGCGTCCCTTCCTGGGACAGGACCACCGGAAGCCTCCTAATTGGTTCTGTTGGGGGGGGGGGTGATCTTTTCACCTCCATACTCCGCCCTGGGGCTCGCATTCCTGAGCCCGAAGGGGATGGACCGACGGCCGGGGCGACGCGAATTAGAACAATGATGAAGTTAAGAAATGGGCGCACCGATCTGACGATTTTAAACAAAAATCTGTCTATGTTCACGATTATACGAGAGGGTCCCCAATATTGTCGCAAACAGAAGGCACAGAAAAGAATACGTAAAGTGTTTTTATTATTAGATTCCGTCTTTGTGGTGTCTTTTTTTTTTTTTTAAATAAAAGAACATTTTACCCAATCTTAATATTTTAAAAAGTTTTACACGACCTGCCCCAAATTAAGAAAACTGTTCATTTACTTCCCCTCTGAGTAGAGTTTAGTGTCATCAAACCACCGCATCCCCTAATAGTAAAGACTCAAAGAAAAGAGACAAAAAAAGCCCCCTCCCGTTCGCAAGGGCGCACGCCCCGAGGCAAGGCACCCCCACTTTCAGGGCTGGTTCTTGCCGCGTCCCCTCCCCCGCCGGGAATTCGGGTTACAGATATTCCGGGTCCAGGAGGGTAATCGCCTCGGAAGCCGTGGGTGGCCCGAG